AAACTCACCCCAGGAATGTCAGTGGAGCTGACAGCAGGGGGGACTGGGGACAGGGGTGCTCGGTAACCCAGTAACATGCTGCGTCTGGTCCCGCTCTGCCTATGGACTGGCGCTGTTCTCCTCTCTGCCTGTGCCGCCTCCCTGTTCTCACTGTGCCCTCCTCTCACACCTGCCATCTTCCCCCCGAGCTCTCTGAGCTCTGCCCACTGGCTCTGCTCCCCTGTCACTTGTGCTGCCCCTTCTCTCTGGAGCGCCCCACACTGCCCTTGAGTCACTGCGATCTCCGCATCTGAACCGAGGCACCTCCCTTTGCTCCCCCGCCCATGCACGACTCTCCAGGGAACATCTCACGATGATGCCAGACACACACACACACACACACACACGTTACATTATCGCCGCCGCCCCAGCTCAGAGCAGCGATGTCCTGGCTCGCAGCCTCCTGCCTCTCCTGCTACCCAGGTCTCCTCTCCTGTTAGCAGCCACGGTCTGTTGGCTTGGCACCTTTCTCCCCCCGGAGCAGTGCAGGAGGGACCCACTGCCTGGCTTCATGCATAGCCTTTGGGGTGGTTAAGGGCGTCAAGTTCCCACTCCCTCTGTTATCACTGACTGATTTAGGAATCAGGCCTTTGCCCTCAGTAGTTAAGTGCAGTTAAAAGGACAGCAACCAGCATTCCTCTCCATCCATGCAGGGGCTAGGTTAGTCCTGTTAATAAACACTGCAGGCCCCCCGAGGGGATGCTGGTTAGCTCGCGGATATTCCCGGTTTGCATGCCAAAGGCACAGTGGACGGGCCAAACCCTGTCGCCTTCACTCTGGCAAGCTCCCAGAGAAGGCAATGGGAATGCAGCCCATCCAGGCGGAGTGAAAGCTGAACAGAGACCTCGCAACTAGGCCCTGTGTTAGCGCATCATAAAGTATGTTAAACGCCTGGACAGCAGATTTCCCTCTAGACGACATGCCTGTTCCTCTCCCTGCCCCTCACCTCCCATCCTCTCGGGTTAGTGAATACAACAAGTGCCAATCAACCAGGTAGGTTCAGCCACTCGGCTCCTGGCAGTTAGGCGCTCAAGATTGGCAACTGCTTTCCACATGCATCAGTGCCAAAGGGAAACCGTGGAGATACAAGGAAACTGAGTCCTGGACCAGCACGAGCTGAAAACGCCCCATGTCCGTCCCAAAGCTCAGGAGTAACAGAGGCACTCAGGCTGATGTGAAGGCCATTCCCAATGACAGATGAACCAGCATTCCAAGCAATTCAAGAGTCTGGGGTGCGGGTGGGACTGCAGTTTCTTAATTGCTTTTTAACAAGGTCTCTCTGCAAACTAGCTTCACCGGACCTTCTGGCAAATACAAATTGCAAAGTGACTGACCCGTCTGTGGGACATGCCACTTCAAGCAGTTTTATAAAGCCTGTGAATGGCATTGTTGTCTCTTAGCCTCATAAAGTTGATTGAAAAACTGAAGACCAGTGGCCTAATTTTCAAAACTCCTGGAGCATCTTCCTTTCTCATTGCACTTAATGGGAGTTAAAGATGTTCAGCTGCATTGAAAAAAAGGCCAGTGGAATAATATAGGAGGTTGCATTAACAGGGGTCTGTTACAGGGGTGGGGGAAAGCCTGTTCATTCATTTGTCATGGTGAATAGCATCAGAAAGTTAAGGAGCCAAAGAGTGTATGTTAGTAGCATCTAGAACCAACTAAGAAGAGATTAGTACAAGCAGTTAATAAAGAGCCACATGTCATAACCAGAGAGTGCATCTTAGTTCAGGAACAGAACATACAGACTAGGAAAGATAAATGGAGAGAAAAGCAGCAAAGGTTAGTTTGTTTAATTCCGTTTGGAAATGTGTTAGTAACAGGAGAGAGAGATCTAGTGACTTAAAAAGGAACTGAAAAGCTTTTGTCAATAAACCCAGTCTAGGATCCCTAGTCAACAGCAGAATCCACATGCAGACTTCAGCATTACAGACAGAAACACCACTGGAAAATCAGCCCTTCCTCTAGTTACCTCCCAAGACCGGCGAAGCAGAGTCTGTCTTTCCTCTGCGGGTGTTGGGAGAGTTCTAGCACTGACAGCAGAGCAGAGAGTGCGGCAAACCTCCGCTTTCTGGTGTTTCTGGAGCACTACCCCATGTTGCTGGGGAAAGACAGAATCCTGCACTCAGGCCCTGCCAGGTACATGGAGGAGCCGCTCCCCACACATTCCCTCGCTGTGTTTGTAATGTTTGACACTGCACATAGATTCTGTTCCTGGGACGGCAACTTGAATGACTTCTTTGCAGACGTACTTACCCAAGCTTTTCCGTTCCCTTTAAAGGCAATGTGTGCTGTCCCCGGTTAGTAGGAGATGAAACAAGACGGGTTAGTAGAGCATGCGTTACAGCCAGTTAGTGGGTTAGTTCATTCGCAAGTGACTTACTCAACATTCCAGCGTCAATAGCAGGCCCGGCTGGGGGGCAGAGTCCGAGAGAGCAGGGAGATCCTCCTGGATTAGTATGTTAATAACTTAGCACGGTAATATACATGCACAACACACCAGTTAGTCCCACTTGATGGCGGGGGATGCGCCTCCTTGGAATTTAGCCCACGCTGCTGTCATAGGCCAGGGGCAGCTCCTAGTATCTGTAGGGAGGAGACGCCTTTGGGCTCTGCAGTGTCTATCAGGCCAGGATTTGGAATGTTGTTGGTTCACTATTCTGAGGCTAGAACTGGCCTGTGTCACCCTAAATAACCGAACTGGAGAATAAAGCACTTTGCAAACACAGCCCCTAGCACCGTCCTGGCCTAGGAGAGCGCTCGGCCCCTCCTGCTGCCACGCACCCCTGTGCAGAACGCAGCTACGCGCTCCCCTCACGCACACCAGCTAGGAGGGTGTCACGCCCACAGCTCCAGGGCTGGCGAGAGTCAGGCTGTTCGGATCTGTCTGCACTGCCCGCAGCAGCGTGGGTTTGCAGGGATCACACTGGCGCTCGCTGTCTAGCCAGGGCTTTGGTGTGACGTCTCAGGGTGGAGCTCGGGTTCCGAAGCCCACCCCGCTTCCTGGCCCTCAGAGCCTGAGCCCCAGGCTGCGCCGCAACCTCTGCACACAGCAGCCCAGCCCCACCAGTCTGAGCCTGTTGACTCGGTCTGGGAGGCTCGCTGCCACAGGCGGTGTAGACGGGCCCGAAGTGACCGAGCCGAGGAGCTGGCCAGCCCATCAGAGCTAAAAGTGTTAGAGCTACTGGGCAGGAGTGTGCCGGAAGAAGCGGAAGAAGGAAATGGGTAACACTAGGGTTAGGAGAACGCTGTGAAATTGCACTAAGCTGAGGGCTGGGGCGAAGGCCATTAGCTGGCAGCACATCAGCGGCAGCTGGGCTGTTGGAGAGACAAAGCTATTTCTGTCCCGGTCTGAGTAGCTGCTGTCTTGCGAGCAGGGGCCCAGTACGAAAACGAATGGAATTCCAAAGAAAAGTGAAGATCCCCCACGGCCTGACCATGAACCCAGCAGGCTCCGCGTATGGGGGATGCTTGGCTAGGGGCTTTCCCCAGCACACCCAGGGAGCAGCACAGAAGTCCAGTGAACAACCGGAAGAGGCTAACTGCAGATGTGAAGCGGGAGAAGCAGAAAGTTCCCAACTAAGGCGGGCTCCATCTGTCATATGCGCTAGGGAATATCTCAGGGACAGGAAGCGAGGGGGAAAGGAAACCAGGAAATAACCCCCTGGAACCAAACAGGGCTCTCTGTGCCCCACCTGGCTCCCTCGGTTCCTCTCGTCAGGAGTAGGTAGATACAGCCAGGAGATTCCATCCCCTCCTGCTCTACGGATGCTGTAGCGTTCACACTCTGTGCTGGCACACATGGGAAACAGCTGGACTCACCAGATGCAAGCTCCCTGGCGCGAGGCCCTCCACACTGGCTTCTCGGAGCATTCCTCACTGACCAGGAACACAACTGCAGCTAATTTTGCTAAAAGAATCCCACCTGCAAGTCCCACCCCAGCACCCCGCCTGC